ATTTGTCTTTTGTTTTGGATTTATTCAATGGTCCACAACAATCTCTACAATGCATGAAAATAAGCATTCATCTTCGGACCAACATAAGCAAATTGGATGGCCATGGACTTCTTCACCAACCTAGAATAATTAAGCACATTTTTGTATTATATAAATAAACTCATATATTAACACCTTCCCCACTCTTGCTCTTTTCTATTAAGGAAACATCAATACACCACACAATTTTTCTTTGAACTAGAAATCAATAATATTCAAAGGCATCAAATTTGTGTGTGTGTGTGATGGCAAATCTCATTGTTCATTCTAGAATAGAATCTTGTTTGTTTAAGAATCTCTTTTGGAAGTGAACAGCTACGTCGTATGAATAGTACTTTGCTCTTTCATGTTTCCATGTTAAGATTAATAACAATATTTTATTGAGTTATATATATATATATACATATATTTATTTATACAGACATCCACATCTTCACTCAAGCTTAGTGGGAATGTCCATTTTAGCCACTGAACAGAATTCTGGTCGGAAAAGACTTCATTTGGACTTCGTCTCACTCTCAAGGGGCCCCATAATGGGCTCCAAAAGTCAAGCATGAACTACCCTGTACCCATTTATCAAAAATATATAAAATTTTAAAGATAATATTTAGATAATGTATTTTACAATAAGTTGAAAAAATATAGGAAGAAAAAAAAGGTGAGAATATTTAGAGAAAAAAGGAACTTAAAAAGTGTTTCATTCCTTTTCATTTTGACCATAGGATGGCCCATTTTTATATTTTGCCGTGAATAGCTTGATTGGCTTTTGATTGGATCTTCATTGCAAAAAAGGAAAGGGAACATTTTAAGTGCATGACATGTTTTTTACATGCTATGGGAATCAATCTACCATCAATACATTTTTATTTATTTATAGTTAAAATAAATATATTACAAAGTTTTGCATGTAGAAAGGTAAAGTTTATTCATCAAGAATACAGTCAATGAATAAACTTCTTTTGCTTGTCAGTATGATCATAATAATAAAATATAACTCCATGAATATGTATGAAAATATATCATATTCAAAGTGTATGTGAAAGAACATTTTAACATGTATTCAGAATCATTTTGTTTGATGTTTCACTCTAAAACCAGTCTAGGCAACCAACTTGTACTGTGTGCAATAAGTTGCAGATTTTCTCTATTTTTATTTTAATGTAGTTCATTCAACTATTTTGTTGAAAATGTCTCATGAGCGGGAATAATCTTGCAATAAATAAATAAAAATGCTAAAAAAGAAAAATAGCAATACACTTCTTATCTTTAAGAACTTCACATGTGGTTTATATTTACACAATGGATTAAATGATGCTTGCAGAAGTATTAGAATTTTAGTGATATGTTGGTCTGATTTTATAACTTCAATTAAAAAAATAAGATCAAGTTTATTTTCTACATTAAAAAATTAGCATTTATCTTATTTATTTACAAATTCAGTAAGAAAAAAAATATCCAAGTTAAATCCAAATTTTTTATAGTATGATCATGTTAATGAAACATCAGAGTAAAAATAGGATTAAAAAAATAGATGGGTTGTGAAGAGCTTTCCTTGTGACAAGTTTCAATGTTTCATGAATCCCACCAACTCAAGTACATGTGTAAGGAAGTTGCTGTAAACCTTTGGCCTTGTTTTTTGTACCAAAACGTACTACAAGGTCATCCTTTCAGTATAGAAAACAACAGACGGGAGTACGTGTGTGTTCAAATCCAAATTTCTTGCCAACCCTAATATGGCTTTGTCGAAAGCTTTGTCCCGCTAAACCTATGTCTTGAGTACAATTTTTTCTTTTTTCTAAGAAAATGAGAATTTTCAGAAGATAATTTCTAATGGAATTAAGATATTGTTTTTTTGAATGAGTTGATTTCTAATTAGAGACTTGAACTTTCTACGTATTATCTTGAAGATGTCTACCAATTTAAAATTCTAATACTTGGAGATATATATATATAGATAACAATAGTAATAACATTGTGGATGATTAAATGTGAAGTTCTTAAATACAACTGCACATGTGGTTTATCATGATTTTTATGTCTCCTTCTTTTTTTACGATCTCTATGAAATTTCAGATCAGTTTTTGAAAGATAATCTACCTCTCTTTGAGAAACGTAACTTTTAAGGGTTGGTATCCCAATTCATTGTGTGAATGAGAGGTGCAAGTTTATGTGGGCAACTGTGTCATTTTTATTTTATTTTATTTTATTTTATGTTTTCACTTTAGCAGACATGAATTTCCATCACAAAAGTAGTTTGATAGGATTACTCTTGAAAGGAATCAACCAAGTGATGCTTTGAATTTCATTGATAAAAGCATATTCAAATGAAATTCTACTGTGATGTAGGAAACTCTCCTTTATTGAAGGCTTCTATGTTTCATTTTTCATTTTTATCGGCAACATTTCATTTTGACCTATAAGCTTAGTTTATTACATTCTCAAGGTTGTCAACTATTTCACTATGAAGTGGATAAAATACACTCTTGTTTACTACAAGCAAGCTTCTACATGGGATTTTTCTATGAGTCTTGCAACTTAAGCGCACCAAGTGTCACCTTTCTAAATCTCAATGTCTTTACCTTTGGATTGTTTGTGTCAACTTCATTGTCCACTTTTACTTCAATTTTTTTTATTTCTAATCCATGAGTAAGTTACTCTTAACTCATTATGGAGAACACCATATCCTATTTAGAAAAGCTGCATTTGTTCGTAGAAATAAGTGAGACAAAAGTTAGTATAATTTTTTTAGTTTTAAAGTGCCCAAAAATGATTTTGATACAAAAAGGATTCTCCTATGTCATGTTGTAAGTAGAACCTCATCGCCTCTTCTTTCTTTCTATTGAATTTTTTATCTTTGACCATCAGGTGGGTCTAAAAGTTTAACACATGTTTATTTATTTATGTTTGGAAGTCAAGCTTGGATTTAAAATAGAATAATTTAACTCTCTCATAATCAACTATATGGAGAACTTGTTTGGAGAACATGACAGGAACAACATGTTGGATTCTAAATTATTTAATACTCTTCCATTTTTGGAAGATTCGAATATACTTTGAATTTAAAAATGGGCTCTTCGAATATATATTTTTTGCATGTGAAACATGAATCCATTTTGAATACTCATTTTGATACAAGTATTTAATCTTGTCATAAAAATACTTAAACAACATCTCATACTTATTGCGTCTTAATTTTCTGAACACCATGAATTGTGTCATAAAATATATTATAATTTACAAAAAAAGCATTGCTTTGGGGGGGCTTAGACTTTGTATTCAAGTGAAAACTATGATTTCTATGCAGAGTAATAATGTATCCAAATTATAGTAAGAAAGAAAATTGTTATTTTTAATTAACAATGTATGTGCTTTGAAACTTTTGTGCATGTGAATAAATTCTTTTACTAAATAAGTGTGATTTTCTTAAAATTATAACATAATTTCTTGTTCTGCTTATCAAAGTTAACATGAAAGTTCCTGAGTCATAGTTGAATGCTGATTATATATATATATATATATATATAGAAATAAATGAAAATACAACAAAGACAACAACAGCTTACAACATACCCAAAAAGTTTAAAAGAGAAAAATTGTGTGTCATTCCATTCCATGTAATTCATTGAAAGTTGAACAAGAACGTAGAATTCATGCAGAAAGTCCTCTGAAAATCTCTTGAAGATCCATTCATTGTTCAAATACCAAAAAGTATGAATAGGACACAATAGCTCAAAATTACACATGATTCTATTTATTTATTTATTTTGTCAATCAACATGCGATGACTTTTTGGGAGGCAAGCTTGGTGATCCATGGCTTTTGTATTATCAGTTGAATAAGGAGGATTCTTAGATGCTCGTAGAAGAATCTCCGTGCAAACCCTAATGGAACTTGTTCCTCATCACAAGTTCTCTTTTGTGGATGGCTTCAAACTTCATGCCATATCCTCCTCTTAACTAGCTCCAGAAAGGCTGGGTGATGACACAGTATTGCATATTCTAAACAAGATATCTATACCTAGATATATATATATAAAATTTAAAGTAGAAACAGTTGGGTTGTAGAATCTTATAACATCTCTAGACTTACTTCTGTGATGAATCCCATTTCCTATCTTTTGCTTATTTCGTTTCATCATTCACAACCACAATAAGCCCTAGATCTTCACTTCAGTTTCAGTTAATGTTAAAAAAAATAAAAATGAAAAATTGGTTGGCATTTATAACAGTAAACATGAAAAATGGACTTGGGTAGTTTTTGAAAACACGTGTTTTAAGAAGTTGCTTTCAAAAACTTGTAGCACCCTTGACTATACATTGTATTTTCAAAAAATAAAAAAGTACCATGCAATAAAGTGGCACAGACATGTGCATTATCCACAAACATGACCTGGGTTTGTGTCTGATTCCACGACCCTGGTTTGCTCCAAATTGTTTGAATACCCAATGTGGAATATTGCAAGTTGGCTCAGCCCGCAACATCACAAAAGCATCCCAACTGAATCATTCTGATCACTAGCATAAACACACACACACACACAACTAAACCATTTGGCTTTGTCTAAAAGCTAACCTCTGTTTCCACAACCAGATTATCCATCCTTCCACTAATAGATTTGGATTGGGCATTATTGTAGGGGTTTTACCCCTATGCCACAAGTATTAAAGCTAGCTAGCTATAGTA